ATGCTGGAGGGCAGGGGGCTGAAGACCATTTTTTTTTTAAAGCATTACTATGTTCTGATCTAGAATCTTTCTAAGCTACGTTGTTAAGTGATAAATGCAAAGTCCAGAACAGTATGCATAGGATGCTAGCTTTTGGGGGCAGGAAGAAAGAGAAAAGGAGGAGGTATGAAAATATTTTGTTTATGTCTGCATAAAGAAAAATACAGATGGTCACCTGTGAGTGTTTGTGAGGTGTGAGCGTAATGGGGTAGAAAGGGCAGAGGCGATGGGCTTCCTCTACTTGCTAGATGGGATGCTGCCCAATTCATGATTCACTTAATAAAGTCAATTAGATCTTCAAAAAAGAAAAAAAGGAAGGGGAGAGGCAAGAACGAGACTTTTCACCTGTGTACCTCTTTATACAATTTCTCTTTAAAAACTAAAAGAATGTGTGTTGTCTGATCAAAAAGATTTCAAAATAAACATTAAACAAGTGTTAGAAACCCAAAGCAAAGTGTTAATGTTTGGTAGAGCTGAGGAAGTTAATTGAGGGTATATAGTAATTCTTTGAAATGTTTTCGCTATTAGTAACCCCAACAAATTTTCTAGCCTTCCCTTCCTGTTTTAACACCATTCTTCCTATCTTTTATAAAGGAAGTCAATAGGCACATTTTGAACATTTTGAATGACTTGGTAGGAGACAGGGGTATATTTAAGAATTCTGAGCTGCAGAGAAAAGCCCTCAGCTAGGAATATTAGTCTTAATCAGAGTAAGCTTCCATCCCTGTCCCAAATGGCTTCAGCTGTGGTCCCTGAAGATCTGAGAAAAAAGAAGTGGCAACCTCGTCAGGGACTGGCCTGAGAATGGAACTCCCGTGGTAGAAGCATAGGTCTTCAATTCATACAAGCCCTCAATTGTACCTTCATGGGGCTCTCCTCCATATCTCCCAGTGTCTTCTCTCATCTCTGCAGCAGGCAGCCATTTCCTCATCTTCCAGATCATTCTGTTGGTACCTTGCTCCACTAGACTAACCTCCTTGAGGATAGGTACAATGGCCAAGTCATCATCACACACAGCTCCCTTGGCATAGTAGAAGTACATACTTTTTTCTTAAATTTTTTATTTCGAAGTAATAATTGATTCACATGAAGTTGAAAAAAAATATACAAAGCCAGAAATGCCTGTATTTAAAAAGAAGAAAAAATTTTACATCAGTAACCTAACTTCCCACCTAAAATAACTAGAAAAAGAAGAGCAAACTAAATCCAAGGCAAGAGGAAGGAAAGAAAAAAAGACTAGAGAGGAAATAAATGAAATAGAGAATAGAAAAACAATCGAGAAAAGCAAAAAAAACAAAAGTTGGTTCTTTGAAAAAATAATAAAACTGATAAACCTTTAGCTAGACTGATGAAGATAAAAGGAAAGAAGACTCAAATTACTAAAATCAAAAATGAAAGAGGACCTTACTATCAACTTTACAAAAATGAAAAGGACTGTAAGTAAAAATTAAGAACAATTGTATACCAACAATAGATACCGTAGATAAATTCCTAGAAAGACAAAAGCCACTGAAATTGAGTCAGTAAGAAATAGAAAATCAGGGGTGCCTGGGTGGCTCAGCCAGTTGGGCATCCCCCTCTTGGTTTTGGCTCAGATCCTGATCTCTGGATCGTGGATCAAGCCCCGAGTGGGGCTCTGTGCTCAGCAGGGAGTCTGCTTGGGATTCTCTCTCTCTCTCCCTCTCCCTCTATCCTTTCCCCTGCTCATGCTAAATCTCTTTATCTCTTTCAAATAAATACTGCCTTCGGCTCGGGTCATGATCCTAGAGTCCCGGGATCGAGTCCCGTATCGGGCTCCCTGCTGAGCAGGGAGTCTGCTTCTCCCTCTGACCCTCCCCCCCTCATGCTCTATCTCATTCTCTCTCTTAAATAAATAAAATATAAAAAAAAGAAATAGAAAATCAAAACCACAATGAGATATCACTTCATACCCACTTGGATAGCTATAATTAAAAAGACAGACAATAACATGTTAGTGAGGATGTGGAGAAATTGGAATTCTCATACACTGATGGTGGGAATGTAAAATGGGGCCGCATCTTGGAAAACTGTGTCAGTCCTTCAAAAAGTTAAAAGAGAGTTATCATATGACCCCAAAATTCCACTCATAGGTACATACTCAAGAAAATTGAAAACAAGGGCGCCTGGGTGGCTCCAGTTGGTTAAGTGTCTGCCTTTGGCTCAGGTCTTGATCCCAGGCTCCTGGAATCGAGCCCCGCATCGGGCTCCCTCCTCAGCGGGAAGCCTGCTTCTCCCTCTCCCACTCCCCCTGCTTGTGTTCCTGCTCTCGCTGTGTCTCTGTCAAATAAATAAAATCTTAAAAAGAGAGAGAGAGAGAGAAGAGAGATGATATGAAGCAGATGTGATATGGGAGGGAAATTAAAAAAAAGAAAATTGAAAACATATGTTCAAAAAAGCCTGGACATAAATGTGTATAGCAATATTATTCATAATTGTCAAAAAGCAAAAACCACCTAGATGTCCATTAAGTAATGAATGAATTAACAAAATATGGTATGTCTATATGATGGAATATTATTCAATCACAGAAAGGAATGTAAAACTCAAACATGCTACAATGTGGATGATTCTCAAAAACATGCTAGGTGAACAAGGCCAGACACAAAAGAACACATATTGTATTGATTCCATGAAAGTGAAATTTCAAGAATAGGCAAATCCACAGAGACAGAAAGTAGATTAGTAGTTTCTAGAGGATAAAGGAGCGGGAAATGGGGAGTGACTGCTCCTGAGGATAGGGTTTCTTTTGTGGTAATGAAAGTGTTCTAGAATTAGTGGTAATGGTTACATATATGTGACCAATATACTAAATTGGACTGTGAATATACTAAAGCCCATTGAATTGTATACTTCAAAAGGGTTAATTTTGTGCTATATGAATTATATGTCAATTAAAAAAAGAATGAATAAAAGCAGCAGCTAATGCCTTTAAATATGTAATGAGAGATTCCATTTACCTTTACTCAGATTCGCCCTGTGGTGTATAACTCTACACCATATCACAACCAGGAAAATGACATCAGTACAATGCGCAAAGCTTATTTAGGATTCACCAGTTGTACATGCCCTTGTGTGTGTTTGTGTATGTGTGTGTGTGTGTGTGTGTGTATAGTTCTATGCAATTTTCTCATGTGTAGATTCATACAGATACCACCACAATCAAGATACCAAACTGTTTCATTAGCACAGGTGTCCTTCCTGCTACCTGTTTTACTCATACCCTCCCTCTCCTCCATCCCTAGCCCCTGCCAACCACTGGTCTGTTCTCTCTCTCAATAATTTTGTTATTCCAAACTTAATATAAATTGCTACATAATACATAAATGTAATTTTTGAGTTGGCTTTTTTAACTCAGCATAATTCTCTTAGGATCTACCCAAGTTGTCACATGTATCAATAGTTCATTCTCTTTATTTATTTTTAATTTTTCTTCGGTAAGGCAGCATTTTATTTACTCTTTCCGTTAATAACTGATATTTAAGAACATTTACAATATTAATAGACTTAATCTAAGAAAAGTTCAACTTACTTTTTTTAACATCTTGATACTGGGTATTAATAAAAGATAGTCAAAATAATTATAGTCAAAATTATTACATCAAAGATCACAAATAAATATTTGGTGTTAGTATATCTACATACAATTCAGTTTTTGGTGTAAAGTTCTTTGGCTGCAAAAAAGAATATTTGGTTTATGTCACTAACAGTAATCTCTCTTTCTCTCTTTTTTTTTTTTTAAGATTTTATTTATTTGACAGAGAGAGAGACAGCCAGAGAGGGAACACAAGCAGGGGGAGTGGAAGAGGGAGAAGCAGGCCTCTCCGTGGAGCGGGGAGCCTGATGCGGGGCTCAATCCCAGGACCCCGCGACCACAACCCAAGCCAAAGGCAGAGGCTTAATGACTGAGCCACCCAGGCACCCCAGTAATCTCTCTTAATGTTGGGATGGCCTCTTGGTATTTTTCTGCTGTTGATTTTTAGCATAGTTATATCTGTGCCTGTAGGAATGGTGTTAGTGGAGAGGTGCTCATCATGTAAACTCCAAATAAAAGGACATAGTTGATTACTGTGGAAGGTAAACAGGCAAGGCAAGTGCCCAATATTTCTGAGGCCAAAAGGTTAAGCCTAAGGAATCTAGTCAAGATTCAGGAATAAAAGGCCATACAAGATATCATATAAAGCCAAACTGGGAGCTCAAGAGCAAAGCCATAAATCACTCTTTCTGGCAATGATGATAGTGAATTTTCCACCATTTTCCTGATGGGTTTAGGCAGTCTCAGCACTAAGTCCTCTGTTCAAGCACTGCAGAGGGTGGGGGTAAAGAGAGAAAATTGAAAGGCCAAGGTGTGAAGGAAGGTACCTCTAGCCCAGGCACAGGTGCACCAGAACTCTCTCTGGGAGTGGTAGAGGAGACACGTCTATTCCCTTTATTTTAAAATAATTTTTTATTTTCAGAACAGTCTTAGATTTACAGACTTATTATTTAGATAGTACAGAGAGTTCTTATATACACCACACCCAGTTTCCCCTACCATTAGCATCTCTCATTAGGATATTAGTATGGTGCAATTAATGGGCCAATCTTGATACACTCTTAGTAATTGAAGTTCATACTTTAGATTTCCTCAGTTTTCCACTAATGTCATTTGTCTATATCAGGATCCTATCTAGGATACTATATGATGTTTTGCAGTTATGTCTCCTCAGGCTCCTTTTGGCTGTGACTATTACTCAGACTTCCCCTGTTTTTGACAACACTTGAGAGTTAAGGACTTCTGGTCAGATATTTGTAGAAGGTCCTCCAATTGTGATTTATCTGATGTTCCCTCATGATTAGACTGGGGAAATGTGTTTTGGGGAGGAAGACCACAGAGAAAAAGCGCCATTATCATCACATCATATCAAGGGTACATACTATCAACATGACTTATCACTGCTGACTTTACTTACCCTTGATCAATTGGCTGGGATAGTGTTCGTCAGAATTCTCTACTGTAAACTTTCTCTCTCTCTCTTTTTTTTCTTTCCATACTGTATTCTTTGGAAGAAAGTCACCATGCACAGCCCACATTTAAGGAATGGGGAATTATATTTCACACCCTTAAGGGTAGAACATCTATATCAATTATTTGCAGTTCTGCATGGGAGATATCTCTAATCTCCTCAATTTATTTATTTACTTAATCACCTATTTATATCTGTATGGACTCATGCATATTTATTTTATACTTGGGGTTACAATACAATACTATTTTATTTATTGTGTTGTTCACATTGTTCCAGCTTTGGCCATTAGGAGCTCATCCAGTTGGCCCCTATATCCCCATATGACCATCACTGTGAGGTTGGTTTTTTGGATTTTTTAGCACTCTATTACTTTCTGGGACTACTAGATGCTCTAGGATCAAACTGTATCTTTCCTGTCCCATTCCTAGATTCAGCCTTTTCTCCAAGGGGCCCTGATTCCTTTTTTTGAATAATGGTGTTAATAACCAAGATCTGGGCTCTAGGTGTGTTCCATGCTACTAGGTGTCATTTCTTTTCTTCTTCTTCTTTTTTTTTTTCCTAAAGATTTATTTATTTACTTTAGAGAGAGAGAGAGAAAGAGAGTGTGTGCAAGCAGGGGGAGGGGCAGAGGGCAGAGGGAGAGAGAGAGAATCTCCAGCAGACTAACCGATGAGCATGGAGCCCAAGGCAGGGCTCAATCTCAAAACCCTGAGATCATGACCTGAGCCGAAATGAAAAATGGGACGCCCAGGGTGCCTGGGTGGCTCAGTCGTTAAAGCTCTACTTTAAATTTTTAAAAACACTTCCTTTGGGGCACCTGGGTGGCTCAGTCAGTTAAGCGTCTGCCTTCGGCTCAGGTCATGATCCCAGGGTCCTGGGATCGAGCCCTGCACTGGGCTCCCTGCTCCACGGGAAGCCTGCTTCTCCCTCTCCTGCTCCCCCTGCTTGTGTTCCCTCTCTCACTGTGTCTCTCTCTGTCAAATAAATAAATAAAATCTTCAGGAAAAAAAAAAAGGGGGACACCCAATCAACCGAGCTACCCAGGCGCCTCTGGGGTGTCATTTCTTTTAAGCCCTTTCAGTTGACAGAACAAATAAATATAGGTGTGTATACTAACCTATATATACACATATCTATAAATATTTCTATCTGTAATCATCTGTATCGATGTTAAGCTAAATATGAGTTCATACTGATATTTCCAACTCTAACCCATTACAACAGAGTTAATTCTAGCTTCTTCCCCTTCCTTATCTGTAACATCCCATTCCAACAACAACCTGGCTCCTATCACCCATCATTCATTTAATTCTTCAATTCCAGTATACATATATAGTGGTTTCAGAATTGCTAACCCATACCCCCATGGGAAATGGTACTTATGTATAATTCCTTTTGCTGTTAGTCTTATAAATTCCTCTCATTTCCAAAGTTATTGAGATATATTTATATTCTTGGGTCACATTATGTATTCCATTGTGGGATCTCCAACTTCCTAAATGATTTTTTTAAATATGCATACATTAAGATTTACTCTTTGTGATGCAAAGTTCTATGGGTTCTGAAAATGCTTAATGTCTTGTATTCGCCATTAGAGCATCATACAGAATAGTTTTACTGCCCTAAAAAAAAATGATTTGTGTTTCACCTTTTCAAGGCTCCCCTCCTCTGAACCCCTGGCAGCCACTGACCTGTTTATCATCTGTATCGTTTTGCCTTTTCCAGAATGTTGTATAATTGGACTCATACAATATGTGCTTTTTTTCAGACTGGTTTCTTACACTTAGCAGTATACATTTAAGATTCATCAATATCTTGAACAGCTCACTTCATTCTCTTGCTGCTTAATACTCCACTGTATGGATGTACCACTTTGTTTAGTTTATTCACCTACTGAAGGACCTCTTGATGGGCTTTTGGTTTGGGGTGATTATGAATAAAGCTGTTATAAACATTTGCATGCAGGTTTTTGTGTGGCCATATTTTTCAAATCTGTTGGGACATCAGTTTTCAAGTCAGGAGCATGATTGCTGGCTCATATGGTAAGCCTACTTAAGTTCTCCCTTTATTCCCAGTTTGCTGAGTTTATCATGAATGGCAGTTATAAATTTTAATTTATTATAGATTCACATGCAGTTTTAAGAAAGAATACAGAGGGTACCTGGGTGGTTTAGTTGGTTAACCATCTGCCTTCGGCTCGGGTCATGATCCCAGGGTCCTGGGATGGTGCCTGCATTGGG